GACCGAAAATGGGACCTTGCAATTCTCTTTAAAACAAGGGGTGAGTGGAAAAGTGAATTAAGGGAAGGAGAAGCTAACAAAAAATTAATTAATTAATTAATTAATATCACACATATTATATTATTCTAGTTATACTTAATGTAGCGATTACTTAGATAGACATTCTTTCAAAAGAAGCCAAGCTAAACTGTAGAATTAACCAAATGTACTATCTCAGACAGGTCAAAAATGTGTTCTCATTGTTGTTGATGGGAGATAAATTTTAGAGGGCCCGCACTCTAGTATTACAGATATGACTCCAAGATAAATGACATTTTGTTACCATTAAAACCCAGACAGGTTTAAACTGGTTGTACACTAACAGACACTAATATACCTAGCTCCCCTCCTTAAGTAGACTACAATAATCCTTTTGATCTCATTTTCTTTTCTATCAAACATTTATGGAGTATTTTGGTGACCTGTAACACCCGTGTTTTGGGTAACGGTTTTTTACTCTATAGTCTCTGATCTTTTAGTATCATGTGATTATCAAAGAGAAAATAAACACAACAGGTAGAAAGAAAACAACACTAGATCCTGACTTCAGATGTTCTGTTAGTCACCCTAAGGAGAGAAGCATGATAGAAACTGAGCTCAGCTCTAAGACAAATGCAACTGCATACCATATAAGGAGTACAGGGTTATCTGACTCACCATTCCAGAAGAGAGAACGCTCATGATCAAGATGTGGACATCGGGTAAAGCCTCCTTGTGGCATCAACACGACAGACAGTTTTACATGACTAAGCTCAGGCCTCTTTGCTTATTTAGCCATGAATACCTCAGCCTCATGACTCTATCTAAAGCTTTGGTGTATTACCAATAGAAGTTCTATTCAGTAAAGCCAAACAGTGTAGAAAGAGAAGAGGCTTTGGGTCCAAACATCAAATCAACCATATTCAAAACAATATATGTTCACTAATTTATAATTAGTAATTTCTCCAAAGCTATTTTTGTATGTAAAAGGCATAATGTTTAACTCTGCTATATTTTGTTAAGTTAATTGGGAATTTTAGTCATATATAAAAGTGTATGACATAAGAGGGTCCTTTATAACAGTCTTATCTGTGCTACACTGTTTTTTAATGAATTTAAGGGAGCTGGAGAGATGGTTCAATGATTGAATACAAATATATTATTTTGTTGTCTTCTGTTGACCAAAAATCAATATTGCTTAAATCAAGGAATCTACACCAAAAATAACTTTCAATATCATTTCAAAATTCTTCTACTTATATTAACCAATAGTTGAAGATTATTTAAAAGCTTTAAAATTTTTCACATTTACAATAATTTATCTATACCTGATACCAAACACATCTTATAATTCACTAACATTTCCTTTGAATTCATTTTGATGTTTTCTTTTAATTTTATTTTCATTATATTTAAATATGAACTTACTAATTTATTATTTCACAAGTATAACTACTATCAAAACCGAACAAAATTTTATTTCAGAAATGTCCCATTTTGCCTTGCACAGTCATTGATTCTTTTGTGTCATTTAAAGACCATGTATCAAGTATACAGAATGAGCATCACTGTGGTTATTATGATTCTTTAATGAAGATGAATTATGAAAGAGATGAGACCCAAAGTGGGAATTCTTAGGAGATGAAATGCATAGCCATGCAGAGTGTCTCACACTGCTGAGTGGGTCTACCTAAGCCCTGATGTAGATAGTTTAAAAGTGATGGCTACCCAAGTTGTCTTTCCATGTTAGCATATAGTAGATCAGATTGGGACTCTACAACTCATGAGAAAGAGGGAGAGATTTAACTTTAAAAGGTTAAAATTTTAATACCATTATGCTAAATATGATATATTCCAATGTATTGATTAAGACTATCAAAGCACCTTGTATTATAATTGCCCTCAGATTTGGCAGTAGATGTCTTTTTGAGCCATCTCTTTGGCTCTCAAAAGATTTTGGCAGCTTTTAATTTTTGAGTTAATTGTAGCATCATATAAGTTGCAAGAAATGCAGAGAGGTCCCATATACCCTTTACTCACTCTTTGTCAGGAGGTCTTTCAACTGGCATTGCATTTTATGTCAAAGTGGACACATACAAATTTAATAGCTGTTGATCTAATGAATCTCAAAAAATTCTGGACTTTCTTTACAAAAATAATTGGAATAAGGCAAACTTGATAATAATAATTTTAACCAAAACAGGAAACTATAGAAATTACATATGAAAAAGCAGAGATGCCTACAGGCTTGGTTCTTCGCAAAGAAGCATCCATAATCACAGATGCTTGCAATAAATGCAGTCATTACTGTGACCTAAGGCTTTCCTTTTTCTATTTTGAAAATATAGTAAACCTCTTTTAAAGAGATAGGCAAACTTATTCTGATACGAACATAAAGCAATACACAGATACGGTAGAGCATCATGTGATGACCTTTAAATATATACATTTTAATATCTCAACTTAAAAATGATTAAAAGTAAATATTTTACATGCTTATCCAAGCTAGATGTAAAGTAAAAAGGATGTTTGATTAGCCATTTACATACTGAGTTCCCATTTGAGGTAAAGCACAAAGAATTTAAGTGTATTTTAGTGAACCTGTTGTGTGCCATAAAGTCTCCAAAACAACCAGCGAAGGATTTGGTGATATAAATATCATGTTGTTTACTTTGTTCAGTGTAGTCTTATTACTATAGCTCTCCCCTATCGCTTCTCCATCAGAATCTCTGTTTTACTATTTGTGAAGAATAATAACAGTAATAATAAAATCATTCTTCCTGTCTCTCTTTTCTATCAGTTTCCTGTCTCAGTAGAATGCGTGTGGACTATCTCATAGTTTACTAAAACTGTGCACCCCCTCTTCTGCAGGCAAAGCAGCTTCAATATTTTTACATTACATAGGAATACTACTTCCTGTCTAGTTGGTATTTTCTCCTTGTCACAAAGGTTATTAGATTTGCTTTTTCACCCTCTGAAACTCAGATGTCTTCCCATGTGGCACACCAACATCCTTGGGAGAATAGCATGTTGTCATTTAATAAGAGCTTTAGTGAATCATATTGCTAAATGGTTCCTACAGAATCCCCCTGTAGGAAAAAGAAAGAGGGAAAAATGAAAATATTCAGAGGGGGGGAAAGGAAGTGTGAAAGCCCCAGGACTGGGTGTATACAGCCATGATTGACCTAACAATCACCTTGTATGCGACCTATATAACTTTATCTTCCATTTTCTAATCTATAACTGACAATGAGAATAATAATGCCTCCTTAAGGAACAGTTATAAATTAAAGTAACAAACTGCAAGAGAGTACTTTTTAAATATGCAAATTACTTTGTGTGTGTGTGTGTGTGTGTGTGTGTGTGTGTGTGTGTGTGTGTGTGTTGTATCCCAAGGACAACAGTCAGCATAGAGTGAGAGATACTGATGACCTAAACATTGTCCCAAATACACCTCCCAATCTGTCCTTGGTTTGGGTTTGCAAACACAATGAGATGCTGTGTTAATGAGGATTGTGCTGTGTGAAGTCAAACACTTCCTTGACATATGGATAGAGGTTTTGTTTCATGTTATCTAGCACAAGTCTCTCTTTATGTCAACTTCTCTGTCAGAAAAGTCTAGCATTTCTACCAACTTTCAGTAAACTAACCTGGGAAAGAAAAGGAGAAAAATGATTTATATCCTGAATATAAGCCACTTTTCCCTTAGAGAATGAAAAAAATCTGAGAACGCACCTTATATACCACATTGAAGATGGTGCTTGTCATCTTAGGTGACACACAATATGTGGTCACTTAGGATTTCCTTCCAAATCAGCTGGCTAAGACAATGGAGGTTGGTCTGATCTATGGAAAACTTCCACAGCCTCTTGAAGAAGTTTCAAAATTCAGAGAAAAAAATTGCCTCTAATAATAACTGAAGTCTTGACCTCTAGGCAAATTCTAATCATTTTGTGTCTATAGTCTTGCTTGTCTTCACAGCAAGATACTGAGAGAAATATTGTTATGTTGCCCACTTTTCAAACGGCACTGGGACATGGAGCAGCTTGACAACGTCTGTGGTCATTTCCCAATAAATGCAGAGCCGGGAGTCAAATACATATACCCCAGCTCCCAATGCCACGTTCTCCTCACCATGTTGTTCATCCAGCCCAAGAAAGCTCTATTAAAAATAGTGAAATAAGTTTAGTTTCTGGTAGTCTTTGGTGGAAATGGGTGGGCTTTTTGCATTCTATACCAGATGCCTTTCCCATAGCTGCTTATGAACTTTTCTGAAAATATCTTTATATATGTCAAACTAAACACCCTTTACTGGAGAAAATAGTCTTGTTTAACAGTCACTACTCCCCTCCACTTCCCTTTCTTTCGAGAAAAAGAAAATCCCTTAATGTGGAGTATTGTATCTGCTGTTGTAAGGCAGTGTGGATGCTAGACAAGTCTCTCTATGCCTCAGCATGTCAACACATTGGTCAAAAATGAATTTATCAGTTAAATGCAGCCGAAGGATTTAGTTTATCTAAATGTGCTACAAAGAAAAAATAGTTTACCATTGTTTTTACAGATTGAGGTAAATCTGACATATCATTGACATATGCTGTGGATTTAATTTAATACCACAGTACAGATGTGCACTCTGATAAGTTTTTGTGAAATCTAGGCTAAGATGAGTAGAGTAGTTTCAATATTTATGGGGTTGAAAATGCAGAGGTTGCAAAGGAAGCATTTTAATTAAAACAACATTTGCCTGGATATGAGCAGAGTAAAAATGGAGTGAAACCTCCCAAAGCCTTACTACTGGTTTGCTATACTCACTAGGATTTTCAACATACTCACACAATTTTGACTTAGTCTGGCTACCCCATTATTTGCTTTTTGCTTTAAAGATATTACAAAATGTACTTTATTATTTCTTTTGATTTTTACCTTCTCCCAGCTAAGCACAGATGACTATTTACAACTTTCTTTGTAATTTTGTGTTTTAGGTATCCTAGAGATAACATCAGTGGAAATCGGAGTTGTTGCCGTCAAAGCCATTAACAGCAACTATTACTTAGCCATGAACAAGAAGGGGAAACTCTATGGCTCAGTAAGTAGCCAGCTTTTGTTTTCAAAACACTTGGCACTAAGATAGTCCCAGAGACTTGGATGGTTTCTTAGAGCAGACACTGAGTGGCTTTGTTGTCATTTGGTCACTACTAAGAGGATTCACAGTGGGGAGGGGGGTCTAGTCACCAGCATCTCCAGGGCCAGCAAAGCAGCTTGATCAACTCTATAATCTACTGAGCTGTTTGCCCATGAGTCTACTACACAGCCAATCAGACTTTCACCAAAGCATCTAGATGACGTAGCGTGGGAACTGGTGACAACCTGGAGAATTAATCAAAACAAAAACTTGGATGGAATGGAACCTCATATATTATGGGTATCTTTCATAGGTGAAGAGAAAACTAGGGCTCAGATATTGCATGTTTTTGTGAAAATCATAAACAGAGAAACATCAAGAGATTGATGTTTTTCCAGGTTATTCAATGAACCCTAGAATTGTACTTACCTAGGTAATAGTCATTAATTATAGTTATGCATGAACATTATAGACATTATGTAAAGACAAAGGAGTATCTTCACAGTAGGGTATACTATCTACAAAAGTATAGGTAACAAGAATAGGACACTCTTTCAGTATGGTCCTCATGAGACCTTGGATAGACCAATACCTACAAGTGTTAAGTACTTTGAATATCACCTATTCAAACTCAAGTTGAATTCATTTAGACCATCTCTTAGACTAAAGTCTCACATAAAATAAGTTATTTATAATTAAAACCACAATCATAACTGAAACAGAATTATATGCAGTATATCAATTATGTTATTTAGATTTTTAGAAGACATGTTAGTTAAACATATGGTTGTCTGCTACGTGCCAGATACTGTTTGTCCTACCTCACAAAGATGCGCAAGGAAGAAGGATAGAGTCACACATGGTGCTGCACAACTATGATCACAGCACTTGAAAGGCTGAGGTAGAAGGATCACAAGGTCCATACTAGCCTAAAATGTGTAGGAGAACCTGTCCCCAAACAAAGCAAACCAACTTCTAAATACACAAGCATGTAGATAGATAGATAGATAGATAGATAGATAGATAGATAGATAGATAGATAGATAGATAGACAGAGCTTTGACTTCAAGCATTTTATAATATATAAGGAAAATGTCAACAAATATGAAATAGCTATAGAACAATTAATTACTATAAAAGAAGATTATTAATAGTATAATAGCCTTGTGATGACATTAGCAGTCTACTTCAATCACTTAATTGCCATTTGAAGGCTAATACAAGCTGCTCAATTGTTTCATAGTTTTAATCCAAAAACTGTACCAAAGAACTACTACATAAATTTAAATTTTTCTGAATTCCAATCTAGAATGGTGCACTTTTACATTTTTCATAGCATCAAAAATAATTTGACTTTAAACATGTAAATAAATTTACTTTCTTGGCTAGCGTATGGGTGATCGGTAGTTCTTAAAGCTGAGTAAGCCGCAACATCAATGAGAGGCATTGTTCAAAGACATAACGATGGGACCCAGGTAGGCTCAGCTTGTCTGATTCAGAGTCTAAGTTAGGGTGCAAGAATTTACACATTTAGCATGGTTTCAAGTGCTGTCCATGCTGCTGGTTCAGCTGCTGAGAACTGGGAACCGGCAGTCTAGCAATGGCCTCCTTTTGTCTTTTATTCATATCAGGTCTGCTGTTAAGTGACAAGCTAGTCAGACCAGGATAAATACTTGAAGTATGAGGTCCACAGGAATCTTAATTCAATTTCTTCATTGCATATTATTCCACCAAGGAGCCTAAAAAAGCAATAGAACATTTTTAAAAATAGCTCCACTTAGGGCTTTAAATTCTTACCACTTTTTTGAAAATACTGTTTTTTCTTTTGTTTTCATTAAACATGTTTGAGGGCCTGCTGGACAGCTCAGCAAGTTAACGTTCATGCCCCTCTATCTGCCAGCTTGTGTTCACTCTCTGGAACTCAAATGGTAGGAGAGAGAGATGACTCCCACAAGTTATTCTCTGGTTTCTGCATGCATGCCCCAGTACACACATGCGCGCACACACACATACACACACACACACACACACACACACACACACACATTTAAAAGAGAGAGAGAGAGAGAGAGAGAGAGAGAGAGAGAGAGAGAGAGAGAGAGAAAGGAAAAAGAAAAAAATCCCCAAAGAAACAAACAAACAAAAAAAAACCCAAAACCATCACCACCACCACCAACAACAACAAACAAAAAAATCTGCTTATAATTTTTCTTTTAAAAATGTCATAGGCATAGAGAGGTGGGGGCTCAGTGGTTAAGAGAACTTGCTGCTCTTGCAGAGGACCCAAGTTCAGTTCCCAGCACCCATATGATGGCTCACAACTGTCCCAGGGGATATAATACTCCGCTAGACATGGAGGAACTATACAGAAAAACGCACAGACAAAACATCCATACACATAAGACAAATCTTGTTTTAAAGTTTAAAAAAATCAAAAATATGTCTGAATCCAGGCAGTGGCCTGAATATTCATTCCCAGCTACTGAAGACAGAGAGGAAAAAAACTTGAGCCCACACCCCACGAGCTCAAAGCTATTTTGACCAACAAAGCAAAATATCTTGGTCTTTTAAAAATATCAACTAAACTTGTCCAGGTTCCTTTTTGATCCACTGTTTCAGAGTCAGTACATAAGAGACTTGTGTGTATTTACATATTCTTTGAAGAGGTACTTGAATATACACATAGGCAAAGTCAATATAATTCAGAGGTAGAGCCAGCTAATGTAATTTAGCTTAAGACTAAATGCATGCAATTCAAATTGTGAGGGAAGATTAAACCAATTTTATTGATAAAACGTGCTCATTTTAAAATGGGGTATGAAGAGAGTAACAGCCCACTCCCAAATGAACTGTGACATTAAAATGTGCGATATTGTCTTATCCTCTCCCCCATTCCCTTCTGTGCTGACACACCTCGTGTGCTGTGCAGATGCCTCCTCTCGAGTATCTCCTCTGTGAGTCTTCTTCATTCACTCTGTCTGGACTCACTGCCGGTGTACCTCTGCCATATTACCTTAAGCTCACTATCTGAAATGACCTTCATCTGATATTTTTATCATCGAAGTGTTGGTTGCCAGCGAGCCTTCTACGAACAGGTCGTGACCTTCAGGAAGGTGATGTGAGCCATCTCTCCTACTCTACACATAGCATCTAGATCCGCTCAGTTTCCACAGCTCCCCATTAGAAAACATGCTCCCTGCTTCTTGCCCGTTCAGCAGCAGCTAAGTATCTAAAAAGTATGCTGTTAGAGATCCTGATTCGATACCTAGTATAAGCTCAATTTCAGTAGCCATTCTTCGAGCATCCTATATTCCAAGTTCCCTCTCAAATGATAGAACTGAGCAAGTCTTGAAGATCAATTAGTATGGTCCTCAAACACCACGACTTAAAAATCAAATGTCCCAGGTAAGCATGGAAAACCTAAAACTTTCTTTAATCCCCCCAATTCACTTTGGAATCCTGTTTAGATATTTGTTTTTAAGATATTTTTATTAACTCTTTAAGAATTTCATACAATGGATTTTTATCATATTCAAGACCAGATTCTTACCCTGTCTCCTTCAAGACACACCTCCACCTCCTTACCTTCTCCCTCCAATTTGCTGCCATCTGTTTTGAAAATAACCATGGAGTCAAATTTGTGCTGTTTACACATTCCTAGATGTGGAGTCATCCAATGGGACATGGTAGATTGACTGGGACCTATCCCCTTAAAGAAAACTGGCACTTTTCCTTGAAGCCATCGCCTCCCGTAGTGCCTCAGAGGCGGGGCCCACGACTCTTCCCTACCTTGTGCTAGAATGTTGGCTGTCTTGACCTTGTGCAGTTCTACAGACAGCCACAGTTGCTGTGGCTTCTTGGGTGCCATGGTGGTCCTGTCGTGTCCTGCAGTCACTGTTTCCTCCAGCTCTCTTACCTCCGGGTCTTATGATCTTTCTCCCCCACTCTTACATAATCATCCCTAAACCTTAGGGAGATGGGTGTAAATTATAGTCTACAGACATTTGTTCTCCACACTTTGACCAGTTGTGAGTTTCTGCACTAATCACCCTCCACTACAAAAAGAAACTTCTCTGACGAGTTCTAAAAGGTGTGCTAATCTACCAGTAAAGAGACAGAGATTTAGAGGGAAGTTTGATATTCTTTATTTATAAAAATAATAGCAGTAGGTTAGCTCCCAGGGCCTGTGAGCTCCCCAACCATGAATTCTTGGCTAGATTTATAGCACCAGGCATGTGTTTCCTCCTGCAGAATGGGCCTTATATCTAATCAGAAAGTGATGGTTGCTCCCATATTTGTATCACTATTTCACCCATGGGCATTTCTTGCCATACCAATCATTATTGCAATTCACAGGGTTCACAGGCCAGTAAGACTATTGATGGATTTCCCCAGCAGCCTGCATAGCACCTTTCAGTATGAAAGCTAGCCAGCATGGAGAAATGCCCCCAGTTAGTACAACCCAGATTTCTTAAACATTAGTACTTACATTTTGCCTGCATCTCATGAATGTCTAGGCCATCCTCCAGAGATTGTAGCTATGGCACATCTTAGTTACATCCCAAGTGTCCAAACACCTGATGAGAGAAAGCTGACTCAGGCACTCTTCTTTAAAAAAAAAAAATACTATTTTTTAAATTAATTTTGGAGAGGAAAAATAAGCATCCAGTGTGGAATCTCCAATATAAAATTTCCTGAAATAGTCCCAATCTTCCTTTTTAACAGAATTGTTATATTTGTTTAGTCTCTATGCATATGTGTACATGAGAGGACAGTCACATACCACAACACAATGTATAGGTCAAAGGACAACTTGAAAGAGTTGGTTCTCTCTTTCCACCTATGGTTCCTGGGGATGGAACCCAGGTCATTTAGTCTTTAAGGCAAGTTTCTTAACCAAAGAACTCTCTTACTGGCCTCTTCCTTTACTCTTTAAACTACATACCCTTTTAATAAGTGTGAAAAACAACTATATTGTTTAAAATCCATATAGTTTTAGACAGACAGAGGAATAAGAATAAAAATTAAGTAAGTTCATGAAAGATTTTTTTCCAATACAGAATCTTTCATTTTATTATAAGAATTATCTTAGATAATTTATCTTTTCTTCTTAATTTCAATCATATCACCCCGCAAATGTTGCATTTAATAGATAGTACTTTACAGATGAGAAACACACAGTACTACTCAATTTCAGGGCTGGAAAAATAAACTGATAATGTCACTGTAAATATGTAATGATTCATTATTATGCTCTGAATTATTATCTATACCATGGAAACCTGAAAATTTATAATCCAGAATTGAACTTTGGGGCCTAGATCAATGGCTCAATGATTAAGAGTACTTCCGGCTTTCTAGAGAATGCAGGTTCAGTTACCAGCAGCCACATGGTGGTTCTCAACAGCCTGTAACTCAAGTTTTAGAGGACCAGATGCCCTCTTCTGACCTTAGTGGGTTCCTGCTGGAATGCAGTACACTCAAAATCATGCCAATTCGCATATCTATACATAGATTTCAAAAGAAAACAAAACCTTTGAAAATTGAAAGTAAAAAAAAAAATACAAAGATTCCTGAGGTGAAAGAAATTGCCCATTGAAGCCTCCATCAAAATATTCCCACGGTGCCTTTCTGGTAGATGGAGAGAGTAGAACCCCAGAAGCCTTGGGTCCCTAGTTCCTGGGCTGCTCTAGTTTGCATCAAAAGCTGAGGGACATTTCTTTAGGGTTTGTGTGTGTGTGTGTGTGTGTGTGTGTGTGTGTGTGTGTGTGTGTGTGTGTGTGTTATTAAGTTCAGAATAAGATACTAAATTTGGGAAGCAGATGAGAGAAAATTCTTGACTCATCAAAACTACTTAAAACCATTTGGCCACTTGAGACAATGTCAAAATGCTGTAAGGTATAGATGGCTATCCCTGTGAGAGAATCTGAATGCATTTTCAATTACTAGGTTCATAATTACTTTGACATGATGATAGACAAAATATTTTTTTTCCTTGAAAGTCTCACATAGCAAAGTCTGACTTGGAACTCACCATGTAGCTTTACTTCTGATCCAATTGCCTCTACAAGATTATACGTATAGCCACCATGCCTAGTATATGGAGTACTAGCCATAGAACCCATGGTCTCATACATTATATGTAAGAACTTTACCAAGTGAACCACATTCCCAATCTCCAAAAAAGGCATTTTCTTTATCTTAACTTTAAAACATTCCTTGAGTTGATCTTTAGGTAGATAATGTTTATAAATGTGATGAGCCCACACTTCTGGTGATTCTATTTTTCCTATAGAATCTATATTGCACACTATGAAAGACACGATTATAACCCTGTCCCCTATAGCTGGTCCATTGTAAATATTGTTATTATGATATCTACTTCCTGACAATCACTCTAGGCACTTAAACCATGTTATAGTCAAAGTCTGTCAACTTTTGAAAGGGCCAGAAAAACGATGCTGTGGTGATTAATCAAAGATGAGTCATGTGTTTTCAAACACAGAATCTGTTTTGTGGTTAGGAATTTCGACTCTTCTGTTGTTGGCATTGCATATGAAGTGAGCAATTTATGTAAAAATGGCAGCTATAAACAAGACAATGGACTGTAGCTCATTAGATGGTTTATATCATATGGAATCCAGTATCATCACCATACAAATAAATAACTATGTTTTTCCTTTGCAGAAAGAATTTAACAATGACTGTAAGCTGAAAGAGAGGATAGAGGAAAATGGATACAACACCTATGCATCCTTTAACTGGCAACACAATGGCAGGCAAATGTATGTGGCATTGAATGGAAAAGGAGCTCCCCGGAGAGGACAAAAAACACGGAGGAAAAATACCTCTGCTCACTTCCTCCCGATGGTGGTCCACTCATAGAAGAAGGCACTGTTGGTGGACACAGTACAACCAAAGACTCTTTGGCCAGGAAGAGTTGGAGTTGGTATCCTCACAGAAGACTGTAGTGTGAAAGGCAAAGACCTATCACAGAGCTCAGCTTGCTTAAAGGAAGGAAGGCTTTGGAGGCTTTTGTACTCACTCCTGACATATGAAGTTCTTTTCATTAGCTCTGTGTCATGCCTTATACCCAAGACAGAGGCAAATCAAGTGGGATGGAAGTTATCCCCAAGTGAACAATGTTGTGGCTGGGTTTTTTTGTGTGTGTTTGTTTGTTTGTTTGTTTAAGTTTTTGTTTTTGAACTTCTGAGATAGAACTTAAAGGACATGGAACAATCTGTTGAATGATCTTTGGGAAAGTTATTTATGGAATATGAACACATATCAAAGACTTTCATTGCTCATTCAAGCCTGATGATTCAATGAGCAGTAAGACACGCAAGCATTTACTGGAAAGCACTTGGGTCATATCATATGCACAACCAAAGGAGATTTGGGTGTGGCACCATGGAAGAATTGGATCAGATTTACAAATATAAACATATTAGTGTGAAACTGTTCTAACAATACAAATAGTATGGTATGCTTGTGCATTCTGCCTTCATCCTTTACTATTTCTTTCTAAGTTATTTATTTAATAGGATGTTAAATATCTTTTGGGGTTTTAAAGAGTATCCTCAGCGCTGCCCTCTGATTTGCCTTCTCATTTTTTTTTTTTTTTTGGCACCCTATGCATGTTCATGACAAAGTGTTTTAAAAACTTGGCGAACACTTCAGAAATAAGAGATGAGATCCAGGGAGCAGTACAAGTGCCCCATGTGCTATCAGTTGATTCAATGTGCACTTCTGCAAGAAGAACTGTCAGTGATGTCTATGGCGGGGTTCTGCTATAGCTTAAGGAACAGATATCTGTCATCATTTGCCAACACACACACACATCAGTCCTGAGGCTTCCTTACCTAAAAACATATAAGGCCAAAGTCTCTTCCATTGCCTTATTTCATCTCCATGAATATACAAAAAGAAGGAAAATGAATTGTTAGATTTTAGCCTAACCTTGTTTTGTTTTTGTTTTGTTCATTTTTTGTTTGTTTGTTTGTTTGTTTGTTTTTGTTTTTGACTGATGATGGCTCTCTATAGCTCACAGTGGCAAATGATGGAAAGGTTATCTGCATATACAAGATCCCTTTGTAAGTCCCACAGAATGCTTCCCTCCCCCCCCCCCCCCCCCCCCCCCCCCCCGAAAAGGAACCAAAATAGGAATTTCATATGAAGTGCAACTCTCCCAGGGGCTAAAACTGAGTAAATATATCCTGGTATATGTGTAACCACATACTGAAATCCATTCAAGCTGTATGATCTAGTCTTTACAAAACCAAATAAAGCTTGTTTTCTGTACATTTAAAGTCTTCTAGAAGGTTCCATAATATAAGCACATCAAAATTCATTTTCTTAGAGCAGGTATAGAAAGCAGAACATAAGTGTACCACTCACTGTCATGTGTATTTCACTAAATAAACACATAAGCCTTATTTGCAGTGTCTGTAGTGATTTAAAAATGTAAAAAAAATATTATTTGTTCTAAATATTTTAAGGGATAATTCTAAGACTATATTGATGCTGCAGTTTATCTTTTTATTTCTTGTTTGGAAAAGTCTTTTTTATTTTTATTGTTTGGATACAGTATTTTGGTACAAACAAAAGACTCACCAAACGTTCTTTTTACTAAAAATTTAACCTCTACAAAGACTGGTGATTTGTGGACCTCTTCTAACTTATTTGTGCTGATGCTTAGCCAGTGCAAATCAATTATTTAAAATATTAAGTTAAAGGTTAATCAGTTATTTAAAAATCAGCTTTTTGAGAATGTTTCCACAGGGTAATCCAACAAAGATCATATTTTATGATTCTTTGAAAACCTATTATTTCAAGAGAAATGCACAGAGGCACAGTGCTTTGGTTTATGGGTATAGTTGCATTTCATGGTATTTTTCTTTCAACTTGTTTTGTGACAAATGGGATTTTAAACATGTATACTTTTGTGGTTGGATTCTGTACGTTGAAATTGAATTGGTAACTGAGTCTAAGACCTCTAATGTGATGCATCTCTAGAAAAACTAGGTATCTCTTTTTTTTCTTTTATTTTAAAATAATAATTATACCTGACACATGAACACAGACCACCCACAACCAAAATTAAATGTTTGGGGAGACAAACTATGGTATTCAATGACCAGAGTAACAGCAAATAGGGCAGACGCTGGATTCTTATTTCACATTGCCATTTAGATTACTAAAGAGACTACGTGTAAACAGTCATCATTATAGTACTCAAGACATTAAACAGCTTCTAGCAAAATATATCAAAGCTTGCAGAGTCCAAAAATAGAAAACATCTTTCCCCCTCCCCCACTCTACATCTTTCCCTGTATACATCCTAACAGAGATAAATACAGAAACCTTTTGATAGTGAGGATTTTACTGCATTAAAAAAATTGCATCTTTGTTTGATATTGATAGCCCCTTTTACTACTACTGAAAGAAAAGGAGTCCAGTCCTAAATGTTGTGTGTTTAAAAAAAAATGGGGAGCTCTGCCTCTGGGAAGTGTGGATGCTGGCCCCACCATGCTAAAGTGTGCCAGCCACAGATACCAGGCCGTGTGAGCGCTGGCTGGCACTGAGACTCCTGAAAGATATAGAATCACTCCCTCCTCCTACCCCCTAAGAGGCTGAACAGTGTATATTATGTTACATTTAAATAAAGGCAATAAAATGCTGGGGAAAGAAAATAAAAATATTGTCTTTGTTTTCTCTCTCTCTCTCTCTCTCTCTCTCTCTCTCTCTCTCTTTTATTTTATTAGCCTAAAACTCTACCTGGTAATGAGAGAATCTCTGGGGTTGTGTGCATGGCAGGATGTGGTTAAATGCCCCACAGCCCCAAACAACAACAACAGAAAAAAAAATTACTCAAACATTTGTAAGGTTTCTTTAATGTTTTACATGTGTGAGTCGGCTATCCTTACCCTAATAACAACCAAATGCTTTCGGTTTTCCTAACTATTCAGGTCCACCTAGTTTACACAGTGGATAAAGAAGAATGAATTGAAAACAAGCATGGCTTGTGCAACAATGAAAGGCTTTTGGAGGCAAGCCAGGAGCTGCAAAATCAGACTTCCAGGGGATGGAACAGACCAATGAATTTGATTTGAGAAGTAGGCAGAAAAAAAAATAATAATGATGCAAGTTGATTCCAGGGCCCAAGCAAGTTTGTGGACATATTTCCAGTAGATGAGTTTTGTGTAACACAGTTCTAATAATTAGAATGCTGTTAATTATTTGTTTGAGTATTCAATAACGTAAACAACATTTTTCACATCAGGAAGTTGCTAGCCCTTTGTTTGTTTAAATAAAGATATATATAGGAAGTTGGAAATATTTAAGAGATAATGACCTGCACTTCAGAACAGCACGTATGGATGCGAACAAATCCTGCGATAAGAGGTCTGTCTACTTGACAGATGAGACCTTTGCAATTTAAACTAAGGTATAAAAATGATTTATCTTGGAAGGGTGCTGAGGGAAAAACTTCAGAACCCTTCCAGAATTGGAAAACAAAGCTCTAAGCACTTATTCTTCTCCCTCATTCCTCTCAGCTGATTGACTGGAGATAGTCGAGGACTGCTTGCTTCCAAGTTGTTTCTTTCCAACTCCAAAACCTCAAATTTTCTCTTCTCAAGATGGAAAACTGAAGCATCATATGTATGAATCTTACTGCTCTATTTTGAATAAGTTATCAATTAACTTCAGGAGCACTCTACTAGCATGTCAAGGGATTTAGGCATTGTGAAGTGCCAGTCTTTATTCATGTGACCATAAAGAGACAGGGTACAGTTTTTAGATGTTCACACACAGGAATGAAGAACTAGCTGCTAAACTGAGGAGGAAGAGAGGAAGGAGAATAATAAAAAAGGAAAATAAAATTCAGAGGTAGGTAGGTACAGAAACTGGATAATTTCTAGTTAAATGTGCTTAAAATAAACTATATCTTGTTCCCATATATTTTTAATTAATTCCAATCATCTGCCATTTATTTTTCCAAATGACAAAGATGTAAAGATCTTTCTCTTTTGTGCAGTTTTTAAATGAAAGTAATATGTTGTTCTGTTTTAAGCCAAGAATAGGGTCCTGAATATAGCCAGGCACTCTGTCATTTTACACACCTTAGAGAAGAATCAGTGGAATGGATTACAAATTTGCAATGAAAAGAAGCCGGGTCCTTATAATAAATATCAAATTGTATCATATTGATGCTGTAAATACTACTTTAAACTTCTCCCATGAAGATGTGCTAGGGTTTTTGAGAAGTCAGTGTACAAAAAAGTTGAATACACAATATCATTTATTGTTTTAATTGTAGAATAAAATGGAAAAAAACTTACGTTACATCTTTTAATGTATCATGTATACATTCAACAAGAGACAAAAGAAAACTTTACAACCTGCATTCCTCTTCCCTTTTGTGGATTAGGGGAAAACATCAGAAATTTCCCTTGTAAGTAAACAATCTACTGAAACACATTTATAAACACCATGCATTAGTTAAAATGGAATAATCATGATCAAACTAGCAGGATCAAAGGAGCTGGTCTTATTTCTAAGTGGATAATAACGAACATTTCCATGAGTCTCCATCATGATAGCAGCTAAAGGCAACAATTCCAAACTCTGAAAAAAGCCATATGCCAACTGTACATGCATGTGACATGTATTATTTGACTCAATTTATTACCCTCCACAAAAGAGCCTCTATACATTTTTTTTTTAACGCAGGCAATTGCATCCTCTAGAGATGAGCATGGCAAATGAAGAATCAAAACACCCCATGTTCCTCATTACATCTGTAAATTGAACATATGCCTTTGTACAACGTAGGCAGTGACCCCAGCTGCAGAATAACCAACTGCAGTGTGGCCTTAACCCGCCTAAGGTTTGGTTTTAATTACCTTATACACATCTTAAATGCCTAAATCATCTTACAATTTTCTAAATTATTTAGTTATCATTTCTGTGGTCAATTTAAGCTGCTGACAATGCAAATACCCTCAAAGAGGTCTTTCAAGGAGAAGTAAATTAAAACCAGTTTTCTGTGAGGTATTATACATTTTGAAAGGACTGTGTTTTATGGTTATGGGAAGCTTCAGGGTTAGGGGTCAATTATTAATTCAATTCAACATTAAAATATTTTAATATATGGTATTTAAGCCAGAATCCTTAACAGACCTGTTTTTCTTTGACACAAATCAATATGTTCAGACATCAATGGTATTTAAGCCAACATCTATACAAGTTGTATGAGAACTGGATGTATTACTATAGAGTTCTCCAAATGAGAAATACTGAAGGATGATGGCCCTGGTTGTGAGTAATGCTGCTACCTTATGG